GGAAAATAGACGCAAAAAACGCATGGGTCCAAGCTTTGACTGCAGGGAGTGGAGGGGTACTTGAGGTAACCCCCAAGACGCCTGGGCCGGAGGCCTCGGCGGACATCTGCACACTTGCAACGGGGGCTTGTGCTCTTGGAAACCTAGTTTGGGAATTGGTTTTCGTGTCCGGAACGGGTGTAAGCAGGGCAAGTGGCAGAAATCAGTTGGCGGTCCAAGTTTGCACGGGGCCCTCAACTGGTTTGTTTCTGAGGTCTTGTCGTGGTGCTTTACAAAGGCTTTGGAAGCGTGCAGAACCCAGACATCTCTGAATGAAGCTGTGAACACTGCACTTTGTCCATGGTTGCGACGAGTCAAGTGAACAACCGTCGACCGTCTACTGCACACCGACTCAAGTCATGAGCATCGCTTCCTGTCGGTGCACCATTCCTTTCTCAAGCGAATCTAGCCTCCGCCTTAGGAGTTGGGGAAGTTGTATGGAGAAGAGAGACACGTTCTCCTGCAGATAACCGTGCAAGCCTGATGGGAAACAATGGTCGTACAGCAGACAAACCAGCGCATGACGGGTGAACAGAAGATTGTTGAAGCGCCTGTCCATGGAGATATGCAGTTGGAGCCTCCCTGAGCACCCAGGCTGAACTTTGACTGCACCTACTTCGAGCTGTGGGAGGCAGATGTAGCTCTTGCCGGCTTGTGCCATGTGCCATCTGCTGACAGGAAATCCGGAGGCAGATGACAATCATCCAACAGACATCCTTGCCACGCATGGATCAGGACCGGCCTCGCGCAGTCTTACGGATCTCCGCAATTCCCTAGCCTCTGCAGCCTCAGCCGCATCGCCCACGATCGCACGCGTTGAAGGAAGTCTTGATGACCTTCTCTCCTCCCTTGTGCCGTGCTTATGCTTAGAGCCTCTTCGAGCTGCCAAGCTCCGGACCAGACACCGAGGTCAAAACCGCGGACCATGAAGGCTCTCCAGCCGGTGGAAGTGCTAAACCCTCGGCCCTCTTAGCAAATGTTCGAAATATCCACCAGTGCCACTCGAAACATGCTCTGAATCAAGAGTTAAACGAATCTTAGCGTAGTAGGGCTTGGGTTCAATCATCGCTTCAGGCAATTATTGATTGTGATCTCAATTGCTCGACTTCTAGGACTACTCGGAATGGTTTCCCTGCGTTTCCCTTCACACCTAACTTTCTGCAGAGTCGATTGTTGATCGGAGCCAAACCCGGGCTCGGTCCGGGTGCGTGGTGCTCGAAAAGGTTTTATGCGTACTCCGCACTCGGCATACTTGCCCAACATGACAGGAGGTGTTGAAGTCAGGCCGTCCTCGTCTTTGATGTTGTCTTCCTTGCTTTCTCAGCTCCTACACTGCTACTGATCTTATTTCAACACCGTCTGATTCAAAACGTCAAGTCTGCATGATCACATGCGAACCAACAGCATCCGGCTGCCTTTAAGGCAACGTCCAGAAGACCTCAACGATGGCTCACAGCAAGGCAAGCGCATTGCTGCTCCGGCTGCGCTGCCCTCTGATGTGAAGCGTCACACTGGAAGATATTATTGGCATTGTGCAACCCCACACTGAACTGGCAAGGTCGTTCCTCCGCCACCACCTGGATTCGTTGCAGGCCTTGCAGCAGGACGCGGGGGTTCCATTGCATAATGCAGGCGGGATGGCTCGAGCAGCGTTCAGGGATGCGTTCCAGCAGCCAGAAGGAAGTGCAAGTGGTGCTTGGAGCTCCAGACCAGTCTCCGAAGACCTTCCTTCTCAGCTTGCATGCTGCTCAGAGCTGATCAGACTTGAGACTTCTCAGCCTGTGTTGCTCTCAAGTTTTGAGTTCTTGCGAGGCCAGAGCACCTCAGAGATGTGCATCGGAGCTCGTGCACCACAACGTGTCGGTCTCGTGACATACCAGCAACTGCAGCAGCCTTCTCTGCTGGCATGTACCGGTGCAACTTGTGTACAGGCTTCACAGCCATACAAGTTTAAGAGCCTCCGGCTCAAGCCGCCGACCCAGCAGGGGTCAATAAGGAAACACGTCACCTGACCTTTGGCACAATTTGTGATGGCGGCTCGGATCGGCTGTGCTGGGGGGCGCAGGGTGTTTGTTTTGGGCGGTTTTGGATGTGTTGTAGATGCAAAACGGCCGCGTCCTGACGATCCTGGGCCCAGCTCATCGCAGGTTCAGCCGTCGCCGTCTTCTCTGGAACGCCAGCGGCAAGAATCCATCCTCTCGGCCCTGCAGCTCTATGTCAACCCCCAAGAGGCTGGCATCAAGCTCTTGCTCCCTCAGTTCATGGACTTGGAGGACAACCCTCTCACACTGTGCCCCACGGAAACATTGGCCACGCAGTGTCTACATTGCAAATGGGCACCGTTCTCGGTCTTTGGACAGCTTTTGGACAGCTTGCCATCAACGCAAGATCAGCGGCACACCTCACCAAGCATCATCCAGCCGCAGGATCACAAAAGCATTTTCTTTGGGGCCTACTCGCCAGGCCCTCTGGTGGGACTTCGCGCGCAGACCAGACGCTACCCCATGGTCAACCGCTTGCTCAACGCCGTGATCTACACTCTTTGTGGCACCCAGAACCACACCACGCTGTTTCTTGCCCGCAACCGTGCCATGGGCCTGCACTCCGACCACCAGAATCACAGGTCCGTGCGCAACGTGCTGATCCCCCTCTCCGATTTTGCTGGGGCCACCTCTTCGTGGAATCTGAGGAAGGCGATGTGAGTCTAGATGTACAAAATAGCATCCGAGGACATGTGCATCCCATCACTCTTCCTTTTCTAGCATTTGACGCGCACAGGCGGCATTCGATTCTGGCCTGGTCGGGATGTCGTATGATTCTAGGAACATTTCACATACGTGAGGCAGACAGACTGCCAGCCAGGACTCGCACCTTACTTCGTGACCTGGGCTACTCCCTGCATAAGGACTGCCAAATCAGTCTCGAAGAAGCTGAGGATGTCACGGATGACAGCTGATTCCAGCAAGCGGCCGGGGCGACGCTAAGGTCCTGGCCGAGGGGGGCTCTGCCCGACACTTAGTAGGTAGCGCAGCGGGCTCTCGGAGCACATTCCCGGTGCTCACAAGCAGCCACAGTCTTGCATCAGTACAGGCTAAATCCGCGTCTGCCTGCTAGCATATTGCTCCTGGCACTCTGCGCAGTTGCTGAGCCATCCCCTGCACTTTTAACGACACTGACAACTGAGGTCCACGGCCTTCTTTGTCAGGCTCTACAACGAGACCAATGCCAAGTGCCCCTGCCACTAGCTTTAACAGTGTTGCGCTGCTGTTCTTTTTGCCAACTGCCGCTCCGCTGTAGCTGGCTGCACCGAGATTAGGCCTTGGATTCAGCACACGCAGTCTGGCTCGACTAACAGCTCGGAGAACGCTCAGTGGACAGTTGCCACAGCCGCTTCTAGGCGCAGCCACATTTTATTTCTACATCCCTCTATGCACTGTCTAGGCGTCCTGCATCCTCCCCCGCGTGGGCTTCACCAACAGAATCGGGAGCTCTGCTGACACAGATAGCGGAGGAGGCTCGGCCTACCTGCGGGCCGCTGCGTGGACAACAACCCCCTGCATCAGGCCGTGATCTGTCCTGGGGCATCACTGGTGATGCCACGATCAGGCCCTATTCGGACGCCCCCCGTTCTTGAAGTCTTGGCATGGCATTTCATCCGAGTGCTGGGCGAGGAGCAGCCATTCCCTGCGGATTACGGCCCGCTCATCTCGCTCCTCAAGAATCAAGAAGCACTACTACAGCGATGTCTATGTCCGCCTTATACCACTGAGGTCCTCACTTGCGCCCAGCAAGCATGGAGCCTACGACTGGCTTGCGGTGAGAGACCAGTATGGCCTGGCTGCCTACGAGCTTTCGGATCAGACTATCGTGAGTTTACAGGGTGACGTGAGCTCATCGATCAGCTCTACACCAGCAAGGACTGCCACTTTCGGCCAGCTATAGCCCAGCAAGCCATCGGTCTTTTACTAGGCCGGGCCTTGGACACCATGCGCCGCAGTCGCCCCAATTCCGTGCACATATTGGTGGTGTGCTCCTGGAATGTCAAAGGGGACTCGGTCCACCATGAAATGCACGCTACGGCTGAGCTTTGTCAGGCACGAACCCTACAGGAGGTGGGCTCCATTGCGGCGCGCCACTCCTACAAAAAGTACCTTGAGCCGGGTGCCATGGACAGACCCATGCCCAAGACGGCCTTCCATGCAGACCTATATTCACGACGACATGCCGGGCCCGAAAGACATCTTCAAAGACTGCCTCCCTGGCTTTGAGCGCACCTTCTGCAACGACGAGGCCCTCTTTCCTACGCTCACTCTGCATGCTGGGGATCATGGAGCACATCTGTGCTCCAACCTTAAGCATCCAGCTCACCGCGCCGATATTTTCAGGTACATCTATCACTACAACCACGGTGGCCTGTACTTTGACATCAAATTTGGCTTCAAGGTCACCTTTGATAATCTCATGCGGATTTTGGCGCACGACTGGGGCTCGGCCCAACAGCAGCTGAGTGAGCAGAGGGGACTCGGTCCAACTCAGATTGGCAAGCTGCCGTCTGAGTTCCTGCTCATGGCCATTGGCATCAAGCGGGATCACATCTTTCAAGGCGTTATCTATGGCCAGCCTCGCCATCCTGTGTTCATGCGCGCCATAGCGCATGCCTTTTCCAAGGATGTCATGAGCAGAGTCGCCAATCTTGAGTACATGATATTCTGCAAAACCCTTTGGAAGCTACTGAAGGATGACATGCAGCAAGAGCCAGCAGCGGGCTGGAACATATCCCCCACCTACGGACCGGTCTACCTCCTACAGGAAGATTTCAGCGCGGGGCCCTTCGCTCCAAAGGTGACCTCGACAATGACGGCCACTACTTCGTCACTGCGCGGAAAATCACAGTGGCCTACACCAGATGCTGGCACTGGCAAAAGGGCTTCAAAGGCGACCCTCGCGCCAGTGAACGACGGGCAACCACCATGCTGCAGGGCCTTTTCCAGGCTGTGGCCGAGGCCCTAGAGAGGCGTGTTTATGGTCAGGACCAAGAGGGGGCTCTGCCCGGTGGGGAGCTAATTTGTGACGACGTCCAGGTCAGCAGCACAAGCAACACCTTTGATGACATCATGGACACTGTTAAGCAGGAGAAGCACTACGCTGGCATTACCTCTGAGGACGTCATGCGCTACATTCCTCGAGGCCTGTCGCTGCGCTTCATCCAAGTAAACCTGGCTGGCTGACATGTCGCCACTGTCGGAGAAACGGCAATCCGCCGGAGTTCCCCAATGAGTTTGGAGTAATCTCTCACTTTGCGAGGGGAGTGCACAATCCGGCCCCTCCTCCTCCTCCGGCTGAAGCAGGATCCGCTGATGCCCCGGCACCTCCCACCCCGCTGCAGGATGCGCCACCTCCTCAAGGTCCAGAGCCCGGGATTGCCAAGGCACAGTTCGGCCCAGGCATGCCCCCTCTCCCTCCGGCTGCCAACACCGCGCCAGCGAAGCCTCGGGCTGCCACTTCCACCCCTGCTCCTCCACCTGCCCCTCCCCCCCCAAGGCAAAGGCTCCGCCCCCGCAGACTGTCACGATCAACGAAATGGTCGACCCGGAACCTGGTCCCTCCTTGGAGGACCAGGAGAATGCTCTGCCAAAGCGTGACAAGATCGTTCAGATTTGTCAGTCAGATGAGATGTTCACCTGGATGCACGCGTTGGCCACCATCCTTGTCATCAACGAGAAGGCATTCAGTGGCGGGCTCAAGGTGTCAGAGCAGCTGAAAATGTGGCAGGACTGGATGCGAATCCTCAAGCGGCCTGCATGGATTTTCGCCCCCCTGAACCTGGTGCAGACGGATCAGGGCACGACCTGGGCAGAGGCAATGACAGCTCGTCCTGTAATGGGTACGGACGGTTTGCTTACCATCGCCTTGGGGGATGGAGCCAAGTACCGCATTCTTCCCCAGATCACCGGCTTCTTCGGCTTCATCAGCTCCTTGTTCAAACGCCTCTGGGATCAGGCTGAGATGCACGCTACCCTCGAGACGGACGATAACTTCGAGATTGTGGCGTCTACCATTAAAGCTATTTATGATCAAACATGCAGGTCGTGTGGTCTCATTAACAGGCTCATCATCTATATGCCCTCGGAAGGAAAGCAGGTCCGGAAGATGCGCATTGACCATAGAGTGGGTGACACAGCCGCCAAGCAGAAGTGGCTGCGCCCAGACAAACGCCAGTCGGAAGCCCTGGGCCCGGTCTCCGACAAACGACAGAAGGACGAGGCGGCCCACTCCCGAACTCCGTGGGATGATCGCCCATGGTGGCAATCGTCGGATTGGGCCGCCTCCTTGTCATCCAGCTCCTGGCGATGGAAGGATTGGTAGATAGCCAGGGGCCTCCAGGGGCCTCGGGCCAATGCCATTTTTGATTTGTCATTTGCACCGGTGGCTCGGCCAACTTTCTAGCCACCTTGCCGCTTCTTCCCAGCAAAAGACGAACGTCTTTACCGTGCCGCGACATGCGCCCAAAGCCTGTGTTCTGCTATTCTGCAGTGCTTGGAAGCGTCCGGCCCAGCCACATGCAATAGCTGCCTGTCGAAGGTACCACCTGAGCTGCCGTAGTCCAACTTAGCTCGCAGGTTGTACAGACGTGAGTGGCCCTACCCTCTATTCGTCTTTCGGTCTAGCTGTACTTTCTATCGTCTTTGTCATGCAGTCTTGATACATCGAGGTTTCACTGTTAAGAGAGTGCCAGAGCGGCAACTGCCCGCCAAGTACTGAGCCTGCTCGCACCGTGTTCAATTGCAAAAATTGCTGTTGCTGTTGTTGGTGGTGGTGTTGTTGTTGGTTGTGGTTGTGGTTGGTTGTTGTTATTGGTGGTGCTGGGTGCTGGGTGCTGGTGCTGGTGCTGGCGGTGCTGGTGTTGTTGCTGCTGTTGTTGGGTTGTTGCTGGTGTTGTTGCTTTTGTTATTGCAGGTGTTGTTGATTGTGTTGTCGTGGTTCTCACTATGATTATTATTAATAATATTATTATTATCATTATGATTATGATTTTTCATGTTATTGTTATTATTATTATTAGTAGTAGCAGTAGTATTCTTATTATTGTTAATGTTATTGCTATTGTTCTTATTTTTGTTCTTATGATTTTCTTATGATTATTATTATTGTTGGTGGTGGTGTCTTGTTGTCCTCGTCGTCGTTGTTGTAGTGGTTGCCGCTGTTGGTGTCGTTCGCGGTGATGGGGCATTTGAGCGGAGTTGACAGGTGAAGAGGCGGGTGAAAGGGGGGCGGGTTGAGAATGTGGATAGGTCAAGGAAGGGCGGGAGGGCGGGAGGGCGGGCAGCGGGTTCGCGCGGCCCAGCTCGGGTTTGGGCTGAAAACCTGCAAACTCTGCAAACCCATCCATCACGCTGCCAGTGTCAGCAAACCCCATGACCCATGCATCACGTTCAGTTTTTTGCCGTGCAAGCCAAGTTCAGGTTGAGGGTCGCGAAGGATCCTTCAGAGTGCCCGGCTCGGAGAACCGTCACCTGCTAACGGTTCTTCAGTGTAGCCAGCAAGTATATAAGTTTGTGGATGGCATGATAAGTCGACATGAATGTCACATCTCAAAGTGGGATTATGCTCATCTGTTTCCTTTACAGTCCTTGGCACTCCTTCGCAGCTGTGCCAGACCCTAAATTCCCCGGCAAGACTGTTTTTCACAAGGATTTCGTTGATTGTCAATGCACATGTGGACGCAGCTAATGCCGGCGAAAGCACTGAGGTTCATGGAACCAGCTACGCTCCACAGAATCGCCTCGATGCAGGGTACTATCAGGCTACTTCGCCTCTCGGCAGACAAGTAGCCGTAAATGTACGGAAATCTGGCAGTAGCAGCAGTAGCAGCAGCAGCAGCAGCAGCTTGGGTGCCGGGGTGATCCGCGGTGTCAAGAAGAGCCCACAACCACTCCTTGCCCTGCTCGCTTGCTCCCTTGAATTCCTGATCTCAAGCCAGGATTCAAGAACCGACTGGCCATGCCAGCGCTGGAAGTTTCGTTAGTCAGCTTTCGGCCTTAGCCTCACTTGTCTTCGACCTGCGATTCAGACACATGCCGACACGTGAGGCTACCTCGTGGAAGAATGAACGGCATCTGCCACCACCACCGCCACCCTTGCAGAGGAGTGGCAAGATCTGCGAGCGGAGCGGTAGCTTGAAATGCGCCGCCTCACTTGCAGTTCGCCGCCTGGCCATCTACCAGAACGACACGCTGATGTGGCTGGCTGGCCATCTCCTCAATCTCCACACCGCTATCCTGGGCAACCCCGAGCAGCTCCGCCTTTGCCTTGGAGATGCCCCGCCAAATAAAGCGTTGCTAGATGCATCTCTTGACGGGCGAGTTGGTGCATCTGAGGCTTGATCAGCTCGGCCTGGTCAAAGGCCAGCTTTCCCGTGCTTAGCAAGCCATCCTTATTGCGGGAGCTTGGCACGTGACAGAGCATTGATGAGAAGATTGCAACAGGTAATGCCACGCCTGTATGCAACCTGGCTCTCCATCATATCTTTATCAGTTTCTCCTGCCTCCGACCACGCTCTCAGCCCATCATCCCCTGCCACCAGCATGATACAACGAAACTGCTCATGCAGTGAAACCCATAAACGAGGTGGGCACCCTCCCGCTCCCTTCAAAACGAATTGGATGAAAAGTATTGACATCACAAGCCTGGGCCGTTGGATTGCAGAATGACCGCATCTCAGGGAGTGACCAGTTCCGAACAGCAGTGAGCATCATCTGCACAAGCCCTAGCGACAAAGGATGCAAAAAGTCTGTGTGTGTGTGTGCGTACAAGCCATCAGGCATGCTTCTGAAGCTGTCAACAAGTTTGCAGTGTTCAGTCGTCGTTTCGTTCTATGCGAGCAGCCACATGTCCGAAAGCACGAGATAGGTAGAGAGGATACACCATGATACACCACGACTTGCGAAGACCGGCCTGGGCAGGTTTGACACCACCGAATCTTTTTGGTGGCACAAGCATGCCTTCCAGGAGCAACGCCAACAACACACCTATCAGTGCCGAGCCTCACCCTGCGACAGCTTCGCTGGCTTGTTTCTTATAGCGCTGCGTGTCGGAGCGCTGCTGAGGCTTCAACGTCCCAGGGTACGGCGCCCTCGCACCATCATCGCAGGCGGGTTTTTCACAAGCTGATCCCGGAAGTCAGCGAGATAATGAATGATAGATAGAGTATCCCCCTGTGGATGCACGAAAAAACGATGCACATGCATGTTTATGAAACCACGGTCTGACACGTGCCGGCTTCGCAGCTTCAACCGAAATTCGCAGTCGTGCAGCCAACTTCGATCGGGTAGGTCTCCCTCAGCCTCAGGCCCAACCCGTGAAAACCGCTGTTGAAGCATTAGACATCAAGCCCGATTTGTCCCATTTGCCCAATGCGAAAAAGATGAGTTGCGCTGCAAAGTATACGTTGTGTAAACTAGTCTGTTGGACTGTCAAGAAGCAGATCTTTCAGCACAATCGTAGCGAACGAGCGAGTTTAAAGAGCACTGTCGGCATGCTTAAGCATCTTGAACCGTTTTACCTGATTGCCTCTTCGTTGGAAAGCAAAGTTTGCCTGAAGGAATATGTGCTGTCGATCTATGGAAACAAACTTCGCGTAGCTCTTCATGCGACTTACATTCCTCATCTGAGCAGCTGACTTCGAATCGACAAGTCAAAATGCGAGCCTACAGTGCCACCTTGGCTATGTAGAGTTGTCTGTTTATTTACCAAGCGGATTTGTAAGTTTATTCCAAAGTCGAATCACAACGTTCGTTGCCTTTACCGGTGCATCATTCAATCGTTCTCATGTTCATTATGCATTACATGTGCACGCTCAACGTTCGTACACAGGATGATCAGGAGCTGTATGGATGTCATTCATTTTGATCGTGCAGCGAAACTCACCAGTGTTAGCAGATATGTTAGCAGCACGTATATATGTACATATCTGCATTTATATATATATATGTATTTTCTACACGTGTATATACGCTTATTTATTGATGTAAACGCATGTGTTTAGGCATAGTTGAAGCCGAAAGGCACATGTGAACAAAAGGAAAATGTGAACAAAGAAGTTATTGTAAGTGACTTGCAACATTTCCGCGACAGGACGACCTTCAACACCCCAGGCCCCAGACAATTGAATTGAGTCACATTGCTTCTTCCATACAATGACTCAGGTGCATATTGGAGTATTATCTGGATGTTCACACCATGGCAGCGAGTGTAGGCAAACGAACCTACCGAAGTGAAGCCAGTCTTTAACTAAACCATTCAAGCTGCTCGAACGTGCCAATCCAGAGAGTGAAAGTGAGAATTCAACAGCTTGTACAACTAATGCAAAAACATATCTGAATCGTGCAAGTACGGATTTGAGTGTTTAATCGGCCACGCCTCAGGACAAAAACCTTTGCTGCTAGTTGTTTTTGCAAGTCACGTACTGAGAGCACGTAACTACAAGGCGGAGGAAATCAATGCAACTCTGTTTAGATGTTTATGTCGTCTTCATTTTTTTCAACGTCTGTAGCGTGGTCAGCGAGACAGACGTGTAAGCAGGTAGATCTTTTGACGTCACCACAGGCTTCCGCTTTTGTCATACACGCGTCTTGGATGGTTCTGGCTTCACAACGGCGAAAACGGTGCATCTATCAGGAGGGAGGGGATGTATAGATATAGAGATATGTATGTGTGTATGTATAAACAGTCCTCGTGGCCTCGTGGTTACATGCAATCCGTGTTGCTCCTGGGATTGCGTCACGGTACACTTATCCTGCAGAATTACGAACTGATCTTACTGGACGTCTGTCAGTGAACTGAAGGGCTGATTGGATGCAGAAAGCTACCCAAACAGACAGGCAGCAGCAAAGCGTTAGATGTGTCGGACTCGGAGGAACTCCTGTTTTTATTTCGTCAAGTTAGCCACGAAGATTGAAGACCGGCTGCAAGCTTGGATAGTCCGGCTTTCTTGCGCAAAGCCTCCTGCTGGGGTTTTAACGAGCCCTAACAAGACAGCCAGCGCATCTTGCGCGATTTGCAGCTTGGTGCAGTTGTGCGGCAAGCTGAGAGGCAAAGCTAGCATTTCCAAGAGAGACAGTCTGCAACAACCGTGTGTTGGCAGGAGACCTTGGCAGAGAAACAGGGGCTGTCTGTCTCTGGATTCCCTTAAGAGATTGCCGGCCTCCTAAAAAGACAGTGTCGCGGGGTTGGTCTCCTATGGTTGTTTGCCGGTACATCCATCCGGCTGGTCGTACATCACTTCACGCGCGCACGCATTGCTGTCATCGCTTATGTCGAGTTTTTGGGAGGATGTCTTATCAGGAACACTCCGCACATGTACGTAGTATGCATGTATGTCAAAACCGGAGCTGCAGGCGAAGCAAAGTCAGGCTCCAGCGCGGATGCCCTGGACTGCTCCGGTATTCGGCAGGTGATCTGCCAATTGACTGCAAGAAAAGAGTGCCTGGCGCTGATCTCGGCTATCGTGCGTGTCGGCCCGGGGGTGGTTCTGTATCATCCGAACTCTTGAAGCGAGCAGACAGTTGCTTCACCGGCGGGAGGTACGCAGGGCCAGAAGGATCAGGGTTCGGACACCATGTAATCTTGTGTACGTGAGAGCAGGATGCAATTTTCAGAGATGCTGCGGTGTGCACGGACAAGTGATCACGCAAGCGCGGCTGAAGACATGAACGAGATAAAGCTCTCATCACTCTCATCAAAAGCAAGTGGGGACTGATTGCAACAAGCACACTAGCACCGGACAAGAAGATCCTTTCCAGGGCCAGAATAGCCTGGGCTTCATTGCAGTTGAGCTCACGACTTTAACGGTATCAAACGAGTCAGTGCAGTCGAACGCCGGACTCTGGGGTTGTCTAATTGCCGTCTGTTTCGGCCCAATTAAAAAGGCCCTAAACATTTGAGGATTGTCTTGATTCCATCGGCGGTGGCTTTGGAGCCTTTGAGCACACCTACGGCTCGGGAGGGCAAGCTAGGGGTTTAAGGTTCAGATTTTGGGGCCGCGGCGCTATTAAGGTTTTTCTTGAAATTAAGATTGGTACGGAGCGCGGTATTGTTTTGCGGCTTCTTGTCCTGAAGTCCCAAATGTTGGCACTGAAAGTACGCCTTTTGCAAGCCATTCACATCTTGGTACATATCGGTGTTTACCTTTGGGACCATGGGCTCAGGCACTGGGCAATTTGCTGCGGAGGAAGCCCGTGCTGCCATCTGGCTGTTCCTATCCAGACAAAACGAAGCTGCAGAGGTTACGTGTGAGGATGAGACCATGTAAAAAAGCAATCGCATCATACAGACCACTGCACATCACGATATATCACGATAGGCTTTTCGGAGCACTCGAGAGCATGTTGGTTGGACTAACGATGCGAGAGTCTGGGAACGGGCCCATTGCCACAAACTTGTAAGCAAGGCTACACTAGACTAAGAAAACCAGCGTGGCCGGGTCACGGGATGGCAGGAGGTGTCGCTGATGCAGAATGCTGTACTTAGCCGTGCGTTCCCAAAAGCAGTGAGGAAGGGAGCAGGCACTCTGGATGCATCGACTCGTCATATTTGGCACCTGGCTTGTGTTGGCTTTCTCGTGGCTGCTATTTGCCTTGTTTTACTTGGACAACCCTCATCAACATGGAGGCCATCGTCTCCCCACGTACCAGATATGCGTATCCCACTGTGAAGCGGGCTGTGCAGAGCGTGCAGAAGAAGAGCTGCTGGTCGAATTGTTTGACTGGACATGCAGCGAGGAGTGTGCTCACTGGTGCGAGGTTTCGGACAGCGAAACTCGTGCCAGTCGTCGAGAGCCGCAGGTGAAATACAGTCGAGGGCGCTGGGCATTCTACCGTTTTTGCTACATGGAAGAGTTCCTCTCCGTGCTGTTTTCTCTGCTGAATGGCTTGCCGTATGTCTACTATGTCGCTGGAGGCATGCATTCTGAGCATTGGCTGGGATCAGTCTTGAAGGTGAGTGCAGCCTTCCACTGCATCACCTGGATGCTGTCCGCTCTGTTTCATGCACGTCCTACAGTCTTTTTTGAACACCTGGATTACTCTGGAGTGATCCTTACTTGCCTAGTGGAGCTTTTCACGGTGTTGTTGAGAGTTGCAGATTGCAGAGATGGTAGGGCTTGCAACATGGCCCTTTCAGGCGGTGCACTCCTCTTTGGTGCCTATTCTGTAGGTATGCCTATTCTGAACTTTCCATGGCGTGTTCAGCAACTCATTTCACAGGGTGTGCTTGGCGTCACTGCCGCCCTGTGGATTTGGTATGGTGTCCGGGAACGGCACAACCCTCTGACTCAACACATTGCGATGCCGTGGGCAACCTGTCATGAGAGAAGCCACCATGCTAAGTTTCTGGCGAGTCCGTTTGTGATGCGTTTTCGTCGTGTCCATTATATGATGTTGTCCTTTCTTGGCTAGTTGCGCCGTCGGAAGGCCTGTAAGTGGTTGTATATCTATGGCATAGGGCATAGTGCCATGTATTAATTACCATACACTATGACCACTATGAAATGCCTGCCGCCTGTGTTGCGATATTCGGTTTACAGACTACGGTCTATACAACAAGGTACTACAGATCGTACCAGTGTATCCTCTCGTATACCGTCAAACTGAAGCTAAAATAGTTCCGTACTGTCTGCTATTGTACTGACGGTGGCATAGACCATCTGCTAGCGTGTACTATTCGTTGCTCATGGTTTTAGGTCATGCTGATACATACCCTTGTTACGCTTGTGTACTTCAGCTCCAGTTATCTGACAAGTGGCTGCGGCGTTGTAAGTGGTGAAATTGAGCTTGACTTCCCATGCCCTGTGCTGACGTTGTGTTGCCAGGCATTCTTGCTCGTTTTCTGTGTGCTGGAGCTTGTCGATCTTCCTCCTTTCGATATGCCTGGCCCTCTCTATGGTTGGGTCGATTCTCATTGCCTGTGGCACCTGGTGACGATTCCGATAAATGCCTGGATTGTTTATGGATGGATCCTGGAGGGCGATGCTGCGCGAAACGGCAAGAAAGGTTCTGAACGACAGTGCCTGCACTGGCGGAATGCCGAGCAGCGTGCTATCATTTGGACAGGTATCTTTCTCATTGTCTTCAGCGTGGCAGTAGTTCCAACGTGGTTGCAGAGTGGTCAACTTTGCTCCCAGCACACTCGCTGCAGACGAGAACTGCGCCCATCGTGGCTTGGAAGCATGGATCTCTCAGATCCTCAGTGGAGAGCCTTTCGTGAGAAGTTGCCCCTCCTGGTGGCCGTGGCAGTCAGCACGACTCTTTTGCGCAGAGCCTGTCCACGTCTGAAGCCTGTGGCAGCTTTCCTGTACTGCTTGGTGCTGCACGGCCTCGGTTCCATGATAGCACTGTGTCGACCTGGTGTCCCGCTGGTGGTATGCTTTTTGGAACTTGAATTTACCAAGGAGGTGCCGCGATTTTCCTTGGGAGCTTCCTCCTTGTGTTCTACCTCCGTAGGTTTCGCACCGCTGCCATGGGCGCCGGCAAGGATCTCAGATGATGTCAGCATCAACTGAGAGTGCTCTTCGCCCTCGTAACCGGCGGCCTTCGGGACGGCAGGGGTGGAGAGAGTTTCAACCAGACAGAGCCACTGGCAAGCAAGCATAGGCGCCGAGTCTCTCAGGCTGGTCGCTGGCACTGTGCCTCCTGTATGTGAAGGAGGGGGATGGCAGGCGAATCAGACTGTCGGCCTGGTCGTTTGTGAAGAGAAGCACCGGTAAGTAGGAAGTCTGCATGAGCTGTGTTGGGAAGGACGTCAGATGGGCAGAGATTTCGACTCCTGGCTTAGCTGGCCTTCACGACTGGCGCCTCGTGGCCAAATATGCAGCCCTGCGGCTCATAAGCGTTGCTGCAGAAGCTAAACCTCAACACACTCTCTGGCAGCCCGGACGAAGAGTTTGGAGTTCCTTTCCCACTTGTAGGTCCCGACTTGTGGCACGCTTCTGCACCAGGCAAGTGTTTGACTTTTTCTTTCACCCTGCGCTCTGGCTGGCCGGACCAATCATGCAGCGCAGTCTGCAGGAGTAAATCAAGGCTTTGAGACTCATGTACTATGACGTGTACTGCCAGCTTCGTGTGGTCACTTGTGATTTCAGTCTGATACAGACATATCAAGCTGAGGAGCTTGGACGATTTTGTGACGTCAAGCCCTCCCAGCTTCAAGCTTTGTGTATTGTATGGCCTGCGAATCATCGGTCTTCTCCTCCTTCAGGAACTGGGCGGCTTTGCTGTCAGTCGCGTCAAAAGTTGTCGGAATTTCCAAGAATTTGGTGCATCAACACAGCTTCAGGAGTTCGTTCTCACATTGGTGCCCTTCTTTGCCATACTGCAGACGCGGATGCTGGATCCATTTCGCACCCGCTCCTTCGCAAGCTCCTCGGCAACAAACCTGCAGAGCTATCAATCGTCAGACCTGGAAGACTTGTCCAGCTTTGGGCAGGCAGCGAGCCTAGGGCAATTATGTTCGGAATCTTCCACATGCGTCTAGTCTTTTTGCAAGGAGCCTTCGGGTGCCCGAAAGGTGTTAGCATGTTCGGCCATGGATGCTCTTGGGAACTGATGGGGTCAGGGTGGTGCACCTTGTCACGTTTCGGGCATGGATGCTTGTTTGTATCACAGTTCGGGGCGGTTCAGCTCAAAATCGCGTTTTGGGAAAACGGCCCGAATACCCACGCACCCCGGTTTTGCTTTGCCCCTTGTCGGTGGGAACGGTGCCTCCGAAGAGATAAATATCTTGGGATCCGTCACACGGCCGTTATCAACAGCAGCAACAACAACAACAGCAGAAGCAATAGCAACAGGGACAGGAACGGGAACGGGAATGGGAACGCGACAACAGCTGCAACTCGACGTCGATGTCTCCGACACCCCGCTCCTTCTCCCCCCCGGGGGAACTGTGTTATCGAGGTCTGATACTACAAAACACATGGAATCTACTATTGTTGCTAGTGACAGTTCGAGCACGCATATGCGACGTGTGCACATGTGCCGTCCTTGTGCTCAGCCTTGTTCAGGCCTGCTCTATGCAGCGATTAATGGTCTCTGGCTGAAATTCGCAGTGATGTGGCGCTTCTTTCGACTGTGGGCATTGTTCGATGGCATACAGGCTCCGGAGAACATACCTCGTTGCAACTTTGAAGGAATCACCCTCAGTGCACGTTTGTCTGACTCAATCACCGAGGGTCTTGCACATACATCTGAACTTGTCGCTAACCGGCCTGCAAGGTATCAACACGCATCGCACATTGGCTGGATTTTGGCAAGGGTGGCACTGTTCTTTCAACCGATGGGTCGTGCATTATATATACATTCCCCTTGGTGGTAGGATCTTTGGCGGCTAAGCTTGCTTGCATAAGGCATAAGACTGATCTGTAGGTTCGGCCACATGGTTGCATGGCAGCCAAGCAAAACCGAAGCCCGGACCTGATGCTTCAGGAAGAACCGGTTCTTCAGCGTGTTGGGTGGTGTTCCTCTTCTCTGCCTGTTGGCATGATGTCAGCGCTGAGAACTGGCCTGCATTATTCTTGTGGGGTCTTCTAAACGTGCCATGGCTGAGCCGAGCTGAAGGGGTAAGTCAGTTCTGCGAAGCGGTGAAGATGGGACGACACAGGCTATAGCCAGACTCAGGTGTTTCATCTGAGTTTGGAGTGGGCCGTGCAGACACTGCGACTTGCAATAGAAAGTACTCGCGTGAACCAAAATGCGCCGTGTTTGGCTCGGTCATGGGGCCACTGATCTAAGATGGAAAAGTGCCTGGTGCTCCCCCCTTCGAAGCAGATCTTGGATCCGAAACTGTTTCGAGTGAGTCTTGGCAAAAGGAGACTGCTACACATTCGTGGTGTGGTGTGCACGGTAGCCTCAAGTTCTTTCCAAGCTCGATGCAGTTCAGTTGATAGACACCTGACTAATTATTGAAGCCCACGCATGGCATTGTGTGACACATGTCATTCATGATGTTGGTTACACATGCTTTATAGTTATGCTTCATGACTCTTGTTTTGAGCTTGTCAAATTCAAGACTTTTGTTGTTGGCTGTTTGTGCCGGGACATGTGCGGGGCAAAAGCTCGGCGTTGCTCAGAAATGGTTCGGAAGTTCGGCTCTTGCAGAATCACAATACACAATATGAACCGTCAAAACCAGGACACATGCATGTTGGTCATGCCACACTACAAGCACTGTGTGAGAGTAGATTAGGGTGTACATCCTTCTCTGCTGTTTTCCAACAGCAAAGCACGTTGGACATCAGCACGCAGGAAGTTTGCAAAGAGCTTGGACATCATCAGAGGGTCTTGATTGTTCACCGTAACCGGTAGAGCCACATCGCTTTGGAAGTGCCCGCCAGCATCATGTGTTGATAGGCCCGAGAAGAGGTGGTGTCAAACGGTTATTCTTTGAGGAAATGAGACTAATTTAGGATTCGTTAAGGGATATCGTGGTGAGAAACGTAGGATTGTGCCGAGAATGAATAATGTTCAGTGCTCCTTTTGTTTTTTATCGAATCCGAGGGCTTCGCACCGAAATCCTAGCTAAATCTTATTGTTCTCCTGTTTTCCCTCACTTCCTCCGGACAAAAGCTATAGGAGATAAAAGGACGAAATAGTAGGAAAATAAGAGGGTCGTCTCGAAAATGAACCAAAATCCGTGTTTATGTGGATGTGTGCAGGGCTTTGCATAGAAATCCTATATCGGATATGACATTTGTTTGCACAGAACAAGGTGCTGCAGGCATGTTTACCAGTGCCGCCATATCAGTGCCAATCTCAGGGCGGGCAGTCTTGCTTCTGCGCTCATGTACGTGGGCACAGAACTTGAGTGCGCTTTCGCGCCAAGGTTACCACCTTCATTGGCGTACTGGGAGGGCCGACTTTCTTGCAGAGTTTTGCAGAGGTGGTCACAAGATCTACGAATTGGTTTCTGGATGCAGCTGGTGTCTTGCTAGTACTTGGCTGCATTATTCAAGTCACAATGGCAATGGAGGACTGGGCAACAAGCAGCATGATGTGAGACGTTTGTTTTTCGTCCTACGGTAATCTCATTTGTGGATGGGAGTGTCATGTGCACCTGGTCGAGTTCATCAGTCGCTTCACGAGGATGCCGTGGCCGCAGGTGGGAAGCAGAGCTGAATCGAGCCATGGTGTCGATTGGTTCCAACTTGCATTTTGTGCGACCCCCTGCATGCACTCGGGCAGATTTAGGGCAAAGAGTTGGTTGACGTGTTGAGCAGAAGCCTCAGCCCTAGCCATAAAATTTGACATGTGCCCATTGTCGAAACCCGACTACGATTCGGCATTGGCCCCCGCGAGGGTTTGAGTAAATTGACAACATGAACCCACGGAGATAAAGTAAATTGAACCGTGTAGGGTTTAGGGTTTGGAGTAGAGTAAATTGAACGGTTTAGGGTTTAGGGGTTTAGGGTTTAGGGGTTCAGGGTTCAGGGTTCAGGGTTCAAGGTTAAGGGTTAAGGGTTAAGGGTTCAGGTTTAGGGTTTGGGGTTTGGGGTTTGCGGTTTGGGGTTTAGGGTTTGGGGTTTAGGGTTTAGGGTTTAGGGTTCAGCAGCTCCGGATCGAGCAGTTTTATAGTACAGTTACATTTAAGGTTTAGACATAACACCCACCCACCCCTGAATCCCACAACATTAGAAAATAAAAAGTTCGTTTTCATTCACACCAAAGAGTCTCGTTCATAAATACGCTTCTTTCAACACTTAAACGAGGTTTTATT